GCAAACAATGTACTATTTCTCAATATTGATCTGAAATTACAATTATTGTGGTTCGAGTACACAATTTCTATCAATCTAAATTCCTTTCTTCGGACTTTCTGTTTAGCGAAAGTGTTAATAACATCATCAAAGTTCAAATTTCGGGCCATAGAATTTTTGATGTTGCATGATCTTTCTAAATAAGTTTAAATCTATTTCAATTTCGAACTTTGCACTATTTTTTTTCACTAAATGTGTAATAATAAACGTTGGGAATTGGGATTCTCCTCTGACCGTTGGCTGGGGAGGGGGGGCGTGGTATCTTTGCGACTTGCCACCGTTTAGCTACGCCACTGGCGATTGATACAACTACTATTGAGTAATATTTATCAACAGTAGGAACACGAGAGCTTTTTTTCATCGGATAATTTTCTCTCGGCAACGAAAAATATTTGCCGATCTGTACTTTTACGAGAAAAACCGACATGAAAATATTGCGAGTCCGTAGGTCGAGCAATTTTGTCTAATTTCAGTTTTTCGAGAGAAATTACTGATGGAAAATGTTTGAGTTAGTAAGGAAATTTATCCAATTGGAAAAAAAAGTTCGAGTGTTTTTTGACAAGATAAATCAACGACTATATACGAATAAACAACAATAATGATCATCTTTATTGATAATTCCGTGTAACTGGTAGTTTTCGGAATTGATTTTCTCATATTTTCTTCAGGCGAAATTTTCCTGAAACGGCTCATCTTGCTAATTTACGCGTGAACCATACCCATCAATCAAGGCGCAAATAGATACTAGATCAAAGGAGCAGGCAGTTTATCAGCGATAAAGAAGGTGCATCCTTTTTTATCATATATACAGGGTGTATCTAAATAACGACGAATAAGTTCAAAGGATGATTCCTTGTGATATTTTGGCAAATAAAGTTCATATAAACATGTGCCATAACTCGCTCCGTTTTTGAGATACAGGATGTTGAAGTTGGAAGTATCAATTATTTTTATTTCTAACCCCCCTATGAGCTTTCATGGTGCCAAAATGCAGTATGGTTGGATACTGGGGAAGCCCCAAAATTTCAAAATGATAGAAATTGAGGTTATTGAGTAATGTCAATGGAAGACTTGAAAACACCTATACATTAAATCTGGAGTCAAATCGAATTTTAATTGTTTCCTCAAAAACTAAGCTAGATACAAAAATCACACGAAGGATAAAAAGTTGTTATTTCAATAGTTCAATATAATTAAAATATTAAACTCCGAAAAACCGGCACCTACAATGACATTCACCATAAATAACGATAAATATACCCACTGTGACGCCACTGGAAATAATCTTTCGAATCTTATTGCACCAGAAGGAGCTCCATATTACTATTAACAAAACCACAACGTTTTATTGAAATTGATGAAAAGACAATTGAGTAATGAATAAAAAAACGATCTTACATGGAGACCATTGAATTTTTTCGGTGTTATTTAGATACACTCTGTATATATCCATATATTCTTTGTTGATGGCTCTTGTTGTGCTAGTTCCGAAAAATAAACCAATAAACACTGTCTCTGAGAAAGAACCGCAAGTCCTATCATCTTCCATTCCACATCGCGGTTACGTAAATTACCTTCTAAACAACCACTAAGTTCGCAATTTTTGAAATCAAATCACAGAATCAGACTGAAGGATATTTGATTACTTCAAGAATGCCTGCAACGCAGGTATGATTACTAATGAAAATTTCACACCAAACATGTTCGATCAATTTAAAGCCTGTATTTCGTATAGTTACCATAGCAACTGAACAAATTTCTTGAAAATTTTTCCCTCCTCCTTAGGGGACGGAGCATGAAATTACACTGGAAATTTTTTTGACGTTTATATGTTAAATAACATTCACATTCGACTTAAGATCATTTCGATCATTCTATAAGTCAATAAATAAAAATCATTTATCAACAGTTTATACCATGTGATATAATGAAGGTATACTTGCAAATTCGAAATTTTCGAAAGCACATGTTGTTAAACAACCATCACTAGTAAATTTTCCTACTGAATACCACTTTAGCTTCAATTAATATCTGGGAATTTCCGGAAATAATAGAAGCTCTCGTGACATAAGTGAAAATTTCAAATTTCACAGCGACAATTTTCTGATTTCGATGTAATGTAATATCTTCTCAATATTGATTCGTCCTTTTTCCAGTCGCAAAAAATTAGTGTATTATACACGGGAAAAATATTAGATTTCAGCTAACGGCTTTTTGTCGGGCGACAACACAACTTCGAGCTAAAATCTACCACTTTTTTCGATTTTATAATAAATAACTATTTTATTAAGAATTATAGACAGCACTGATGTCGTGTGTTTTGTCGTCCTAAAACATGCAACAGCACAACAATACATTAATAAATAATTAGTGTTGTGAGTAGTAATTTGCGTGCATACAAATGATATTTAGAACGCTTTATATAAATGGCTCAACACAATGAGTAATATCCAAACCCAAGAAACCGTATAATAGCCGTGTTGTATTTTCATATACAAAGAAAATGGTTACATTGTTGCAAAACTAAAACAATTGGCATCCATATTATACATTTCTATGTAGGTAGAATTACTCATAAAAGTTACGAATGTTTTAATAACAGTCTTATTACAGTAATGATGGGTCAAATATACAAACTTTCTAATAATTAATACCTACATATATGTGGTTAACAAGAATGTTCAAATATTTTGAATTCGAACTTGTAGATGAAATGAAAATTTAATTATATATTTCATGAAGCACCCATGTAAGAATCCTCATTCTGATCTAATAGTGGGTTTGTAATATAATTCATGTTTACTGTCCATAAAGATTACGAGGAGATCGGTATGTTCATAAAGTAATAACATTCATCAATTTGGTATGTACGTATCCTTTCACAGTCACAATTAAATATTTCAAAATATAATTCCATTCTTTGATTCACTTATGGACTATAATAATTATTATTAATTGAAATGTGATATTTTTTAAATTGACCGACTATCTAATTTCTCCACAATTATGAAACACTTTCCATTCGGTACCTATGTAATAAATGTTCGCCTTCGCCAAATATTGAAAATAATTTTATACATGATTTGGCGAAGGTGCGGGAATTTCATTTAACATTGGATTGGATTGGAATTTGTTACAGGAAGTACTGCAATAAGAAAGACAAAAAGCTACGACAGACAAGCATTCAGAAAATGGAAGTCAAATAACCTGTTCTGGGAAAATATATTCCTGTACATGGGTTTGCATCAAGAGCCCAACTGTGAATGATTGATCAAGCAAGATATTTGACGAATGCTCATATTGATTGATTGATTGATTAATAGCAGAATGATCAGTCAGGGTTCGAAGCACAAAACACTGCAGCCTTTGGGTCTATATTGTACTTCTGATCATGCTGTTGACTTAGGTGAACAGGTTCGCTACCTTGATAAGGTTTAGCAGCCTCTTCACCAAATCATTCGTTGGAAAAGCCTCTTGAGAGTTTAATGTTCCCAGAAGGTTGTATCTCCAGCGCGCTAGTCGCTAGTGCTTCGCACTCCAATATTACATGGGTGGCAGTTTCCTCCTCCTCATTGCATAGTCTGCATATGGGTTTATCTGTATAGATGCCCATCTGATGCATTTATGTTTCCTCAAGGGGCAGTGAACGGTTATTAGTCCCGTCACTTGTCTGATCTTACTTCTGTTTATGCTCATATAATAGAAGGGGACAAATCAGCATAATATCGAATAATGATGAGTAGGCGCTGGATTACCCCAAGTAGGTTCGTCAAATATTATAATCGTGGTAGATTGACAGTTGTATTATTGGTAGTGAGTGCAGTTCTATGCGATGAACCTCGCAGCCACAAGCATATAACTCACTAATAGTAGTTCAGCTAGACGACTATAAAAAAAAGCATGCTGTCCCAGAGTGGCTGCCTGATAGCGACAGCAGTAGACCTTCCTGTGGCAGGAAATTCACTTTCAGCAAAGTCGTTATTGCTATCATAGGATTTCAAGGTGCTACTTCTATTCGAAAATGTATAACGGTAATATGATTTCTTGTGATGGTAGCAAGAAATTTCTCAGCAAGAATTCTAATAGCACAATTTTCCTCAGTGCACTCTCGTCATGGTAGCGGTACGTGTAAAAGGCCGCGAACAGACACCCATAGAACAGGAAAGGAGGATTCCGGTCGACATGGCTAGCTGGGCTTGCTCAGCGAGAAATGGAACTTTGGTGTACTTTTTGCCTTAGTTCGTCAGGGAGGAGGCAGTCCCAAGCGATCCTACCGTCAGTTATCGTAGGAAAAGCCAAGTCCTCTCCTGTAAACGAGGTAGAGGAACGTGTAAAAGTCCTCGAACGATCACTCATTCAACGGGACGAGAAGGCCAAAGCCTCTTGCAACGGTGACCCATCGAACGTAACAAGAGGAATCTTGTTGACAAGGGTACCTGGGGTGATAAGGATAGCCCCATCAGGTCGTACACACGGACTAATGCCTCATCAATTGGGTTGAACTCCAGGGATCAAAGGTTTTAAAAAAAAACACTACGGAACTACGGTAGAGGAGGTGAAAAAGAATCCCGCTTTGGGTCAAGTTGGAGAATGTCTTGCCTGCCTCTACGGGTGAGCAGCATTTCTGCTCGGGCGCTGATACTGCAGAGCCAGTAGTCTGCCTTATCAGACGGCCTCGGCCTCACCATTGGAACATTTAAAAGATGCTTTAATAAAATGGTAGCAGGGGAACATGCCGTTACATAACGGAGATGGCTCTAGCGCTCTGATTTGGCGTATCCAAATCCTCCATTTCTCCCTGGGATGCAGTCGGTATAAGTCGAAAGATAGGTGACCGGCAGTCATCCCTATCGGGTGTCTTGTAAGATGGGGGTGGGAATTGTTCCCACTCGATTGCTACCCCGGTAATATTAAACTGTCACCATCTCCTGGTCTAATATAAAATAATGCTCTCGGTACAGGTGATCTCGTCCCTGGTGGCGGTTGCGCTTGCCCGCCCCGAAGCTGGCTACAGCTACAGCGCCCCGAGCGGTCCGAGCGCCTCCGGGTCAGGGGGCGGCTACCCCTCGGGGCCGGCGCCGCAGTACGGCGCGCCGCAGCAGCCCGTCGTGCAGAAGCACGTCTACGTGCACGTGCCGCCTCCGGAGACGGACTTCCCCGCGCCCAGGAAGCCGCTGGTGGCCGCGCCTGCGCAGAAGCACTACAAGATCATCTTCATCAAGGTATGGGTGATATTTTCTAGGCAACATTTTTTGACAGCAAACGTTTTTTTTACAGCCAAAGTGATTTGTTGTACCAAAATGATGAATTTGGATAACTGTTTTTATGTTGTCTAGTAGAGTGATTTCTTTTAATCGCAATTGACACAATCTATACATATTCAATGGAAAGCTGTTAGAACAAGTATCAGAAACAGCTATATAGGGGATGTTTTCTACTTCTCAGCCAAGAAATATATTTTCACGATCTGAGAAAATATTCAAGTTAGCAACAAAAAGTTTATGAATTTCTAATTGAAAACCATAAATATAATTCCTCACCAACAGACCTCCTGTCAAAAGAGCAGGATCTAGCTCACACCAAGCTCATGAAATACCTGGAACATTTGGGTATTATCAACGATAGGCAATATGGCTTCCGTCATCAGAGATCAACTGGTGACCAGCTCGCCTATGTCTCACATATATGTCAGCAATCTATAGAAGAATATGGTGAAACCTTAGCCGTGGCACTTGATATCTCCAAGGCATTCGATCGAGTCTGGCACCACGGACTCCTCGCCAAGCTTCCATCTTATGGCTTGTCTCCCCAGCTATGTTCTCTGCTAGCTAGTTTTCTCTCAAACAGATCGCTCCATGTAGTGGTCGACGGAGTTTCATCTGACTCTTTTATCATAAATGCTGGTGTTCCATCCAATCAACGATTTGTTGGGAGCAACTTCATGTCCAGTACACAGCTTCGCGGATGATAGTACCCTCCATACCGCCTTCTCATCCAGGGCTCCAATACCAGCCAGGCAAATCAGAAATGAACGAGGGAGAAATGTTGACAACATAAATATGGACTTGGCAACAATTCTCGAATGGGGATCCAATAACTTGGTAGATTTCAATAAAAACAAAACCTGAGCATGCCTTCTCTCTAGAAAAGCCGAACTCACTGTGCCCAACATGAACTTGTCAGGAGTAACCATACCTTTGAAGACATCCATTTCGATGCTTGGTATTACTATCAGTAATAAACTCTTGGAAAAATCACGTGAGATCAATTGCTGAAAGTGCATCCCGAAAACTCGTTTTTCTGTTTTGCTTATGATCTATAAGGCTCAGATCTTACCTGTCCTTCAATACTGTTTCCATATTTGGAGTGCAGCACCCAAACATACCCTGAAACTGTTGGATTCTCTCCAAAAAAGGGCAATTCGTCTCGTGAGTGATGCCTCGCTCACAAACTCACCCACTTCTCTGGAACACCGTAGAAAAGTTGGCGATCTGGCTCTATTTCATAGTTATTTTCATGAACGATGCTCTCCTGGGATATCAATAATTTTTCCTCCCTTGGCAGTCCCCGCGAGATTAAACCGTCGAGTTGAGGCTTCGCACCCCATCGTGGACACTTTGGAGACCTGCAGAACATTTCTTACCAAAGACTCTTACATCCAAAGAACAGCGAGGCTCTGGAACACATTGCCAAGGAGGTAACCTCCAGGAATGCAAGAACACCAATTCCTACCTTATTTCCCTTAGTTCTCACGATGTTTTCTGAACATTACAGGATATCCCTTTTCGTAGGAACCAGAACATAAAAAAAATAATATTCATGCATCAATGTTATCTTCTGCTAGGATGCCAAAGACATTCCAACAAATGTGTTAGCTTATTCATCAAAATAAAATGCTATTATCACTTGAAAAGTTGGTATCATATCGTTGGAGTTATCACTTTAATAAATTGACATCGAGTTAACACAAAAAGATGCACATTATATTGAACGAAACTGAGAGAAAGCGACTTTTAAAACATGCCTTTGAGTATCCCTCGAGTCTCAAGTTAACCAAAAGTATACGATCCTTTCCATATTTTCAAAATCAGCGATAGAATGTCACGTTGTAGTAATGTTTGCCCTTTTGATATATTGATACCTGAACAAATATTGATGTTTTCAGGCACCAACTCCACCAACCCCAACTGCACCAATCATTCCAGTTCAACCACAGAACGAAGAGAAGACCTTGGTATACGTATTGGTCAAGAAACCAGAACCAGAGCCAGAAATCACCATTCCTACACCTGCTCCAACTCAACCAAGCAAGCCGGAAGTCTACTTCATCAGATACAAGACACAGGTAAAATTCAGGGTTTTGTATAAAATATGGGAAAATAGCTAACGCATTTGAGCTTCAGCTTCGTAGCTTATTTCGGAGTTCCTATCGTGAATCGATTATCAGCAGGCCTAGTGCAACTGATGAGGCTCGACAAGCCGAAACAGTATACCTTGCATCAGCAGACAAGCGATTCACGAAATTCCTTTAGGAAACCACGAACCAATAGATAGAGCTAATGAACGTCAAATTTTGAAGTGGAGGTGTTGACAATTTAAAAAAAAATCCAATGTGGTCATTTCCAAATATATATTTCAGGAAACCGAGATATTTTCGATGATGAGCTATTGATTTACATTTTCAAAAAGCACAAAACTCGATCCACACAAGATTCAACAATTTATTATATTGTTAGCGACGATGTTCAAATCGCCCCGTAATTGAGAAGAACGCCTAAGGAATGCCTTATCACAAGCGTCCTCGACGACTCATCGGTATTCGTAATCATCGTGTGATCGAAGATTGAAGAAGGTTTAGTCATTAGCGTCGTAGCATCAGAACGAAAATCACTTGTTGATGTTGTATTTTTATGAACGGTCATCTCTGTACAAGCCGTCCTGGGTGAACAAAAATGTGTTTGAGTGTTGAAATTTTGTCTATCTACGATGCCCGTATTCAGAATCCTATAATATTGTTTTCAAAATGGTTTCACCACTACTCTTACTAGATAACTGTTCAAGTATCGCCATTTCTTTATTTCTTATCACTTTCTACTCATTCTTGCTTTTATTACAAGAAATAAAGATAGACGGTTACGATTTCAAATATTTATGCTGAAGTGAGTTGTAGAATACATGTGACCTTTTGAGGATAATTTTCGTTTGTTTAGGAAAAGTCACAATAAATAGGTCTAACAATCGTGATTCAGATTATTCCTATGTTCTTTCTTGAAGATCTACACACTTTTTGTCCTCAATTCTCTTTGGGTTTTGAAGTAATCTTCGCACTGGTGTTTTTGCACACAACCCAAGTGTAAAAGATTAGTCATTAGTATTGTATTCTTTCATATACATTTTCCAAAAGAGTTGGTTTATTCCTATCACTGATGTTACGTTCTCAAGTACATAATACATACTTCTAACATGAATATCCATAATCATCGATCATAATCGACTATGTAATCGATCAGCACTTTCAGTCTGATCAATACCATATACCTACATGACATTTCTTTCCCAATTGCTTTCGGAATTTCAAATGCATCTCCACCAGTGATTCTTTGCAAAAAGAACTCAAGTATATCATCTACAATAAATAGGTGTAGATAGGTAGGTTCATCTTTAGATTTATCTTTCATAAACACACCTACCTTTTCTTCCTCCATTCTTTCTGGTCTTTCACGTGATGTGTTTGATTCTTTTAGCACTACTGTTTCTTCTCCCAACTATACAGCGTGTTCCCGAAAGGTCTGTACAAAATGATACTATAGACTCATGAGACCAAAGTGAGATGATTGAACCAAACTTACACTACGTTTAGTTGCTACAGGGCGTTATAATTGAATATTATTTTTTGGTATTATTTCGTATATTTCAATACAATACAATAAATATCGTTCTGAAATTTTGAAGGCACTCTGAAAGGACTATAATGCATGGAAAACACTCGGTATCATTTCGATTAACACACAGGATGTTACATATGTAGGGTACTGTTTATCGAAAAATTGATATTTACGGGTCTATACTGTGTATGGTTACAGTGTGGTATGGGTTCTTTAAACAATCTACTCACACACCTGAAATTTTGGAAGTTGCGGATAGATTAAATAAACACAGTTTCCAAAAGATTTGGTTTATTCCTATCACTGATGTTACGTTTCCAAGTACAACATAATACATACTTCTAACATGAATATCCATAATCATCGATCATAATCGATCAGTACTTTTAGTCTGATCAAAGTAGGAAAAGTTCAATGGGTACAATATTAATGAAAAACTACTTTCGTCAGTGCATTGCTCATAGCATGTATCCTTACTTAGGTTGAATAAATATAATCAAAACTTCAATTCTTATAGCAATATACATGAAGTATGAACTTATTAAATCTATATCACACACCTTTGCAGTATGTTTCTAAAGACTATAGGTCTTCCTACTCCCCTATTTAATATTTTGATGTTGACATTTCAGAAAGAGGAAGGTGGATATCCAGCAAGCGGTCAACCAGACTCGTCATATGGTGCTCCTCCTTCTTCAAGTGGTCCTTCTAGCGAATATGGTGCCCCAAGGTCCAGTTTCTAGTTTCTGATCTGAATCAGACACGTTTAGGATGGAACTGTTTATTTTTGTACATACTTGTAATGCCAGTTGATAATTTTTTTACTTTGTGATTTTTTTATACCTATGAAGTTAGTGTATAGTTTAATGAAACGGTGAACAAATGTATTTTAGCTACTGAATAGTCTTTAGGGTGTGAAATTAGGGTATCATGCGATTAATGATTGCTCATTTAGAGTTATCGACTTAAAAATCAACTCGATGAATTCTAACATGATGAAATATCGATCAGATCCTGCAAACTTTTGAATACATACAATGGATTTTCTTATATTTTACAGAAAGCTTTATACAAATTATAGGTTAATTTCCACTATAGTTGTAGGTAGTCATCAATAATGATCGCTTTTATTTTTTAAGAAAATACAAAATGAAAAATGTATATGTATGGCATTTTTTTTACTTGAATATCACATTATTACTCAATAACCTGACATACTCCTAGATAGATAGAATTAATTCACATCTAGCGATATTTTGTCGACTACCATAAGTACCATAGCTCGGGGCAATTCTTTACATATCGATATAAAAATATTATATTACGTAATATGTATTGTAAAAAGCATATTACGCACGAATGGAAAAGTAATTCCATGTGTGCGTTATTGCTTTACAACACGCATTATGTACTATATTTTACCTACGGCCATATACAGTTATATATACAGTATATAGTTCATTTGTATCATTTTTGTTTCTGACAGTTGCTATGTCAAACGCTGTTGATGGCGATTACGCGATCATGACATACTTGCAGAATATACGAAAACTGTGCGTATAATGAGCTACTTACTGAGGCTTGTTTTCGTGCGTATTCTTGCCGCTTTTTTTATAGTGGCCGTAGATAATAGTTAATTATACAACAAGGTAGTAAAGAAAATCAATATTACCCAGGGACCAAGATTATATCCCGAGGCTACAGCCGAGGGATATAAGGTCCCGTGGTAATAATATTCTTTTTCTACTCACATAACTAAAATAGCATTTATCGTACGGATATGTACCACGCTAAATGATCGATTAATCACGGATTGTCGATCTGTGATTTATTCGAAATATGAAACACGTTACCATGGCAACACGATTTCTTAAACACATTACCATGGCAACACAGTTCATTAAACACAGCTTCAGTAATTTGAGACATATTTGGCCTGTCAATTGTATTAACTGTCAACTGTTATTTTCATATTTTGTATCGGAATTATTCAAACAAAATTCGTTTGTATCAGAATTCTTCATTAAAAATATATGCGAAATGTAGACGAAAGTGAAATCGAAGAGAATGTTCTAGTACTTGCATCCATCTTTGAGAACAATTTATTCATTCTGCGCTAAGCATGATATTAAACGTGAAACAAAGGTTTGTAAGCAATGGACTGGACACATCTACAACCAATATCACTTAAACGTGTCTTGCTGGTTGCATGCAGTTGCATGTATTATGTTCTCGATTCTTATTCCTCTCGAATTATTTTGTAGGTTAGCAGGAATAGCAGGTATGTCTATGTAATATTCGGAGCGAGATTCGGAGTTCGTAGAAAAATCATAGTATGCAACGCGTTTACAAACTCTTCTAGACGCACTCGTTTATTAAACACTCGCTCCGCTCTGCTCCGCTCGTGCTTAAAATACTCGTTACTAAAAGGACGTTTATAACACTTGTTACATAATATACTATTACCTACGGCCACTATAGAAGGTAGGCAAGAACACACGAGATACAGCCTAAGTAAGTAGTTCTTTACGCACAGTAAGCACATCGCATAGTTGACATAACTGTCAAGAATTATAATTCAGACTCATTATTCCAGATTTTTTTGGGATTTTCTGTCCTCGTCTCTATAGAATAAAAATATTAATACTATTTCAATATACCTACTTGTAGTGAGAAAAAAATCAGATGATTTGCCCCAAAATGTCACTGCGTTTAAAGAATTTTCCTATCAGAGAGCCTAATAGGAAAATTCACTAGCTCGTCAGTGACAATTTGTATTGAAAAAAGTTTTGGAGGAAATGAATGTAGGCATATAGAGAAAATATCAAATTTTTGCTTAGCTTTGGACGTTTCGGGAACGAACCTGCTTCCGTTTTCAACATAAAAAATAGATTTTTTGTATCGTGAATTCGTATTTGTCCTGACACTTTTCAGTTCTCAGTGATAATTGGCGACGTTGGCAATCAAATGAGTTACAGGATGTTTTAATTAATTAATCTTGAATTTACCATTTTCATTTCCAGATTTCGATAGTGAATACCATGTTCTATCTATATCAACTGAACAGGAAGCAATGCTATTGTGTTATAGATAAAATACAAAATTTTCACTTATCTTTGGACTTTTTTGGAACGAATCTGCTCCCGTTTTAAAAAAATGACATTTTGGGGCAAATCATCTGATTTGTCCTCACTACACGTATATTGAAATAGTATTCACATTCTTATTTAATAGAGACGAGGAGAGAAAATCCCTCCTCGATTAACCTACAGACAGTATAATTCTGTTTGTCCAAACCTTTTCGATGTACTATATGGCAGTAGGTAATAGATATTTACGATACGAGTATCGTAAAGACTCATATCACGATATGAGATGGGCAATTTGTCAAACAAGGCCGAAGCCCGAGTTTGGTAACCCATCGATTATCGTAATATGAGTTTACGATACGAATATAGTACCATATTTTACCTATTACCAAAAAGCTAATTATTTAATCAAAAATATTCAATATTCCTTGAGCTAACGATTCATTAGGAATAATAATATGTAACAAGCAAGCGTTGCAAGGATTGGGCGTATGGTTGTCGTCAATCTATTGTGTTCTCGGTTGTCACTCATTCGGCGAACTGTCAACTTCGACGCGTTAATTTTAATTCGAAAAAAAAATAATCGGCATGAATTCGGATCAGGAAAGTTTAGATTCCGATATACCTGTACCTGCTATATTCATGATGAATTGGTTCTTATTTCTTTCTTTGAGTATAAAAATGAAATTTGATATTTGGATAAATCATTGAGGTACTCTTTATTTCATTAAGTTCATTTCCGTATCTGATAAAACAATAATAGAAGAGCAATACTCAAGAGAAAATCAGATGGCTACAAGCCGAAGAAATAAAAAATGTCCTTGTTATATGTTACAGCCGTAGAAAATGTACAGTGTATAACTCACATGGAATGGTAATTTTCGTGCTCGTTAAACAATTTTGGTACTATTTTCCACCACTAGCTGTAAAACCTACCATTATTTACTCCTTCTTGAGAGGTAAAGTGTGTTTTTACTACCAAGGTAGTTTTTGTCATTTCATTAACTACTAGTCAATAAAGACATAGAATAGAATAGGATAGAATTGAATAGTTTATAATCATGTAAGATATACAGTGTATATATATGAACGTCAGTACAATGGAAAATGATGTAACCCTGCATTTACACAGTGGTTATTTAAAGATAAAAAGAAATATAACAGTTTGAACATTATCGATAGATGTATAAAAAAAAGAAATATTACTAACATAGATGCAAGTGACATGACATTTTAAAACATGACACATGTATAACATAGTATCATTAAAATTGATGGACATTTACAGATTCATATATTCTTCTATAGAATAAAAAGCATTTTCGATAAGGAACGCTTTCACTTCTTGATTGAATTTGCTACAGGTTTCAACAGAATGTGATTTTGTCATGTGTTATAGATCTTATTTCCTAGGTGTTTTTGGAATAATGCAATATTCTTCCTAATGTATTTTATTGTGCTATGAATATATATGCAATGAATAGTTAGGATACGTTTGTTCACAAAATAGGTGCGACAAGAATCCCTCGAGCCCAGGTCGAATAATAGTCTTATCAACCTTTTTTGTAACACAAATACTCCATTTACTCCTGTTGCTGCTCCCCAAGCAATAACATTGAATGATAGTGGGAATATGCCAGTGCATAGTCAACATTTGTCAGATGTTTTATAGTGAACAAGTTTTTCAACTGTCGAATAACAAAATAGGCACTATGAAGTTTGTTGCATATATGGTCTATTTGGAGGTCCCAACATAAACAGTGGTCAATTCTGGTTCCCAAGAACTTGGTGTGAGTGGAAAAGGTGTCTGTGGGCAAAACATCTGTTAGATATATTTAGAAAAATATATACATTCTGTTTTACCTATATTCATAAGAAGAATATTCTTATAGCACCATTCTTGATATGCTCTTAGTATTGTGTTTATTTCTTCTTCGAGTTCATTAGCGTTGCTGCCAGATACTATAAGTGAGTTGTCATCAGCATACATAACGATTTGGCAGTCGGGAATAAACGACGATAGATCATTCACAAACAATAAGAATATTAGGGTTCCCAAAACGGAACCTTGTGGGACATCACTATTAGCTTCCGACTAAGTAAAAAGGATTTGATGAAATCTCCCCTGATACCAAGTCTTTCGAGTTTGAAAATGATGAATTCGATATTCAGTGTATCAAAGACTTTACTTAAGTCAAAAAAATATACCTACTACATGATTTCGTTTGTCAATCTCATTGTATATATATATTTATTGTATCAGCTGCACAGTAGCAGTTTCTACAGATTTATTTTTGGTTTAAACCTATTTAAAAAACATTTCAACATACTGTTATGATTAACCCCAATGCACTATTCTGATGCGAGAGTATCGCATTAATGGCACTCGAATCTAGTAGCTATTCATCAATATAATGACTTTTCATGTGCATGACAGCTACTAGATTCTAAATAGAATTGAAAAGAAGTGTTTTCATAGTCACAACACAATAGGTTCATGTAATTTTGCACTTATCATGCGATGGGTTTTTTCCCGAAAATGTTTTGTTACTTACGTAGTTCTGTCCTGAAAACACGAATTGGATCATGAAAATGTGGACAAACCACTATTTATCGAGATCTTTCAAGGAATAGTTCGAAATGTCGCCTTCTTT